AGGACAAGTTAGAAATAACGTTGAACTCCCAAAAACCAAGGCAAACGGAGTGTAGTCTTTCGAACATGTACAACATAATAATGTAAAATGAATTGGTGCTTAGTAATTAAACAACTTCTGGTACATTTAAAATTTTCAACCATTACCCTGAACAAATAAATTTTATTATCAGAAGGGGTTCTTGGGGATATCATCGTAATTTCAATAGTTGAGATCATGAGTCAATCGAATCTCATGAGGTGGAATCGTGGATGCGCACTGTTGAGGAGTCCCAAAATGGGGCGAAATGACCGTCCAGTACTTCAAGGTTTTCCATGGTGGTCTAGCTTCAATTGACTCATGATCCCAACTATTGAAAAAAATTTTAGTTAAACAAACAAAGGAAGTTCGTTTTTCCAAAATTCTTGTTACTTGATAAATCAGTAAACCAGCATATAATCATCTCAATTTAATCAAACCACTATTAACCATTAATAACAAATGAATACTCCTGATCCATAAAAGGTAACCCTTGAAAATAAATGACATGCTAACAAATAATAATAACAGCAACAATAAAAGACAATCACCACAAACGGATAAGTGCACTAATTAAATTGAATATTAGAGAAGTAGTAAGACCACTTTAATGTACACAAAATACAGAACACCTTTGTTTACGTTTATGTATTGGTTTTTCGAATCTTCCCATTGATGTTTAGTACTGCGATTGATCAGTCTCTTATTGGCACATGAGCATGCTCTGAGGATTACTTCGGTATTACTTTACTGGAGTGAACATCAACTTTGCGATGCAGGTACATTCATCTGACCAGTTTTAAATAGGAAGAAACGCACGTTCTGGATTGTACTGCTAGCCACCATCTATCCCTGCCTACAATGATATGTACACTTATCTTTTTTGTAAGGAAAATAGCAACAATACCCGAATTGTGTTGAATGAGAACTTACTTACTAAATTCCCATTCAGGTGGATATATTACCTTTACACTATTTCGGATTGATTACAGATTTTACTATCCTTGTATCATTTACACCGTTATTGCAAGGATACATACAAAACGGTTGACTGAAATAAAATCTACTGAAACCAGTGAGCCACAAATGAATCATGCACATAGATGACGACATTCTTATCACAGTAATTTTTGTTGTTATTATTTCATACTCTTTACCTTTGTTTTCTTCTCCTTAGTTGCGGATGATTGTAAATATTCTGTAACAGCACTGAAAATACTCTTCGCTATATTATTTATGCCCAAACACAACATCCTAATACATCCACTGAGAAAATAACAGATCCCAACTGATGTTTCATTTTACTATAATCTATGTGACAACTGTTCTATCAAAACAACTTATGACTTATGTCTTTTCGAATAGTGTAAACTTATTTTTATTCAAATACATGTTACTTTTCTTATTATATCATGACTGCAGATACCATGTAATTATTTTCGGAATATATATTTATCACTAAATAAGGTGTCGTAATGTTGATATAATTTATCATTTTCTTCAAATAGTAATTATAATGAAAGAAAAAAATATAAATAAAGTAATGAACTAGATCACTGAATGCTTATCACTAGTAGTAAACAAAGTTATTTGAAAAAAACAAACAAACAGAATGTGAATAGGAAAAAAGGTTACTGAAAACATAAGTTGCTGTTTTTAGAAGAAATGTGTGAAAAAAAATTTCAAAGAAAAAGTTCACAGTTTATTTATTTAGTCTGTTTAAATAAAACATAAAAATACCACTACCAGGTAATTAAAACAATCATAAAAATACGAATAACAATTCAAACTGTTCGCAAAAATGTGTGTTGACTCAAGTTCCCATACTTCATTGGTAAGATGAGATGAATTTAAAAAGACCAATATTAAGGGAATCGAAATAATGTAGGAACAATTAGATGAGAAATACTTAACATCGAAAATATGGATCCCAAAGTCACAACGACAAGGTAAGTATGAAGGAATATAGGGAGTGATGTTGAGGAAGATAGAGATTGAATAAATCTGCGCCTATGTCATAAGTGATGTAAGTTGATAAAGGCCAACTAAGCTTTATGAATCTGTGACGAGATTTCTTTAAACACCAATTTAAAAAGATTGATGAGACCTCTCGATCGAGTGAAGTATATTGAAGACATGAACTAGGTTCATGCAAAAAAATAAACTATAGACTACACAGCAGCAGAATAGATAAACTCATTAAAAAGGAAAGAATAGCAGCATAACAGAAAGACAGAGCAATGTAATAACAAAGTTCGTTTTCAAAAAAATGCATCTTACCTCGATACTAAAATATCCTCTATCCACATAATCTCCAAGGAAAAGGTATCTAGTTGTTGCAGGATCTCCCCCAACCTCAAATAATTTCATCAAATCGAAAAATTGCCCATGAATATCTCCACAGACTAGAAAATAAAAATGGTAGCAAACAGTAACAACATAACAGGACAAATTCAGGTAATAAACAGGAACAATAGCAATAAGTTTATACTGGTGCAGATTGAAAACTGTTTTTGAACTAAAAAATATGTGGTTTACGTCACGAGCTAACCCCAGTTAGACAACCACAAAACTAGGGATCACTTGACATCTATTTCGTTTACTATCCACGAAAAAGCTAAAAGCGTATTTTATCTTTTATCCCCTCAAAATATAACAAACCACAGGATAAAATTATGTGCTAAATATGTGAGTCAAATGTATCCCTATAGTAGGGAAAAAACTTCAAGTGGTCAAAATCATAAAAGACACCGAGCTATAGACATAACTAGCAGGTAACTTATGTTTAGTAGCGAATAAAATGATCACAGACACCAAAAACAAACAAACTGATATTTCAAATCCTACCTTACATTTTTATGAATTCATTTTCTAATAAACTTTTTCTTGTAATTCGATTAAGTGCATTTTTATTCCACCAGACACTTAACTACTGATAAATAAGAATATAAGCATATAAGCGAAGATCACTGTCACTATCTATATACTAATAATTCTACTACTACCAGTATTTCGCAAGAATACTGACTGGTATAGTTACAATTGATTGATCACTGGGTGGTGATCAATGTCGTGTGTGTCAAGTCCTTATTAGTGCAGATCAGATGCTATCGACCAAGTTGCAATGTGGCCACCAGTCAAGGTGACTTGACACTGCGTGCACTATGTTGAGATTAGATGGTGGTTGGAGGTAGTCGACAGGAAACCCTGGACCCGGGTTTCGTGCTACTTGGCACTCGTCAGCAAGGTGTACCTGTAATCTTGAAGGAACTGGTGCTCCCTGACGGATTCGATCCCGTGGCACCCAGCTTCACAGTCAGAGACATTACCACCGAGCTATCCGGGCCGCGGTCGACCACCTGTAGGACTGAGATGTAATCGCAATTGTTTGATCACTGGGTGGTGATCAATGTCATGTGTGTCAAGTCCTTATTAGTGCAGATCGAATGCTATCGACTGGTATAGTACACAAGTTATTAATAGTAGGTAGGAGGATATTTTTAATATTATTTAGTACAATTCTTTGAAAATGAATTTATGTGGAAGTAAAATTGCGGTTGTTAAATCACATGCACATGGTATAACATTAGAATTAATCAACAACAACAAAAAATTCCTAATCATATGGATGGATATAATGTGCAATAAGAGCATATGGATTAAACAGGTGTTTATATTTTACCTGATGAGTTAGTGTATATAGTAGTAAGAAAAAAATTTGGTTAAATAAGATACACTAAAAAGTAATATAAATCTTGACTATATTTATTACTGTAAAATGAAAATAACCCAGAAATGGATTATAAGTATTACTCTTGCTACCATATAAATAGGTCACATGAGAATACTCAATAGTCATAAAGAACCACGTGGGGTTTTTTTCAAAAAATAAAAATTAGAAAAGTGTTGATTTTCACAGATATTCCCTATACTTAAATCAACGAAAAATTGAAATAGTAGTTGGATCTAAAATTTGCAGATCTAAGGTTCATAATGGGAACATAAATTTGATAACCAAGTAGATGAAAATGAAATCATGATAATTTGTGATGTTGGAGGTACATGAACTAAGGCTATTCTCATGTTCCTCATACTTCGATGAAAAATCTGGAAAAATGAATCAGTTGCACAGAGATGAAAAATCCCATCACATTAAATTATATGATAGTCGGGGAACCATTAAAGAGAAAAACTAGGTTTAGAACTATTAATTAAGTGCTTCCGAATGCT